ACACTTGTAATAATTATTCTATTTAATAAAACTCTATCATTTACCTATAATCACATTTGTCTCTAAAAATACTCTTGGATTGTAAACCTTCAGAAGCTCTTCATTAATCATATCATAAAGTCTTAAAGTTAAATCCTTACGTCAATACTAATTTTCAGTCATTAGTATCATAAGATAACAGTATGATTATTCAAAATAAAATGCATAAAATTAAAGAAGGATGAAGAAATCCTTAATAATTGAAAAATATATTTATTAGAATAAATACTTTAACGTTAATATTGTGATAGGTTTTGAATTTTTTAATTTTAAATATTTTATATATTTGATCATATAAAATTTTTGTTTAAAACCTATTCTAAATCTGTCTAAAACTGCTTAAAGTTATATAATTACCTAATATTGCTTTATCAAATAAAAGAATTAAAGAACTAGATTATATTAATAATCAAATTAAAAGTTTAAATAATCACTATATTCAATACTAAATATAAACTAGAAACTTTTATATATATTTAGTGATAAATTCTTTATTCAATACTAATATAAGTTAAATCTTTTGATCTAAAACAATAATGACATTTGATCATAGAATCTAAACTATCAAAATCAAAAATACTTATAATTATTATTTTTTACTTTTTATAGTTTCTATTATTATTTATATAGTTTAAAGTAGTTTAACTATACTTACTATAATTTATAATAATAATTACTATTATATTAAAATACTTTCGATTATATGTATAATAATAGCCAAAAGATTTTTAATTATTTGATAAATTAATGAATAAAATAGCAAAAAATAGCTAATACTTAAATAATAGATAAGTAAGTATTAGTATTTAATTATAATCAAATAATCAAATTCTAATATTTATCTAAAAGAATAGCATTTTTTGATTTATATAAATTAAAACCTTTTAATTTGATTATAAATTCTTGTTTAATAATTAATATTTAATTTTTCTTTTATTTTATATTATTATTAAATTATATATAATTGTATTATTTATAAAAAAAATAGATTACAAAAAATTAAAAATTCTATAATATCAGTTAATAATTTAAAGGTAAAATTTTATCTAAAAATTTGTATAATAGACAAATAAAGAATAACCTGTTTTCATTAAATAAATAAAGTAAAGTTTGTAACAAATATATAAATTTCAAAAAAAAATTCCTTTCAAAGTAAATTTACATCAATATTATAATAAATTATTATTATTCAATATTGATTGATTTATTTTAATTAAAAAAAATTTTTCAACTATAAAAAAAAAATCTATATTTCAGAAAAAAATGCCTTTCAAAATAAATATGCATCAATACTATAATAAATTATCATTATTTAATTTAATTAATAGATTTTAATATTCAAAAAAATTTTTTAATATATAATTCAAAATTACTATGATATCACTGTATTAATTTAAAAAAAAATTATTAATTTCATTGTGAATTTTATAAAAATTAATTTTGTAATAGAATTTAGCCAATGAAAAATAAGCCTTCTTCTTTGATCAAGGAACTTCCTAAAATATTTTTTATAGATCTGAATGTTTATTGAAGGAATGGCGCAGAAGAGCAGAACCGTAAAGAAAGTTTACAAGCAATTTCTTCTGCCATACAAGTAAATCTCAAAGGTTTGGCTTCCTTTTATGTATGACCTGATGTTGATACCTGTTCTTTAATGCATATCAGAAACCAACAGCCCCAATCTACAACCAATGGTTGTAAAAGTGAATGGAACCACGATCATGATAATTACCCTATGGGATGCCCTTAGCTACCTCTACACCATCAACTTCCCTCCCCCAAAGAAAGACCCCAAGACAAAACAAATGAAATTCACATATCTGAGCCAGACGAAATTCCTTTTTCGGCATCTCGAATAAATTCGTCAGTGGATAATTATAATAGGCAATCGCAAAAGTCGTCTAACAATGATCAATGTCTCTTGGAAGGAGTCAAACCAGGAAAAAATTATAGGCGTTGCGTTTGGTGTATCAGTTTCAGCTCCCACCGAGAGCAGAAAGAAAGAATTAGCTTTAATCCGAAAAGGGAATGACCAACACCTTTTTTCTCAGGAACAAAATGGGGAAGTGATTCAAAAGATAGAAAAGTGGGTATTCAGGAATTGTGCGGAGACGAATGCTTGGACTTCTTTATGCCTGATCAGACCAGATCTCCCAATCAAGTCCCGAACGATATCAATTCAATCGAAAGAAATAATGTTGCCATGTGCGAATTGCCAAGCTTGTTAGAATTGGTTGACGCAACCAAGAATAAACGTGGGTACTGTGAACTCCAACCAAAACATGAATAGTTATAGATCTAGAAAATAAGGAATATTTCAATGATGAATATGGTATCACCGATATTAATCCATTGCTTGAAGATAATTATAGAATGTCTGTTTTGTTTTTAGATAGCCGTGGTATTCTGTTTGAATGGTGTGAATTTACACGAAACATGTACATCTTGGGAATTAATGAAATGGAAGGTTTTGCAAACATTTTCTACCATCCAGAAAAGAGATGTATCATTATAAAAGATACTGGTGAGGTGATATCTGATTTGGAACTTGAACGCCAAGCAGAAGAGTCGGCAAAAGCTGTGTTAGCTAATTTAGCAAAAGCGTGAAATGAGAAGATCAATCAGATTGATAACTGCACCTTTACATATATAAAGCTTCTTCCTCCTCTTTGGTTAGGTTAAATATGTCTTGCTTAAACGAATGATAAAGACTACATCTTTTACTTTTGTCTTGAATAAGTTTTAATTTACCTGCTAGATTAGAAATATAACCTATGCAATAGTTATATATATATTTCGCTATATGTGAGAAGGTTCTTTGCACTTTGGATTTTAAATGTAACATAAAAATTATTATGATCAATAAAGAATAAACACATTATCATGCATAAAATGAAGCCCAATTTGGTTAGGCAAGACTTTATTGTATTTTTCGTAAAGTATTATGTGAGAAAGTGCAAGTAAAAATAAATGTAAAAATGATGAAGAACCAGAGTTTCATTTAATCAAGTTTAGATGACATGATGGATGATAATTTTTATGTAAAATATTCAAAAATTCGTTAGTATATATAAGAAGATATGATATTCTGGCAAGAAAACTATTAGATTATGCCAGTTGATCGTGGAAAATTTGTTTTGCCAAGAAAAAAAATTTTTATTAATATATGCAAAAATAAATACAAGATCGGGACTAGCCCTTGATACATAACATCTATGCTAATGACTAATGTATAATCTTACAGTCTAACTAACCACCTGACATTTACGTGACTTGGAAATTCGCCCTGCATTCTTTACGAAATGACTGTTATAAAATACATATTTATTAATGAAAAGAAATTAGCCGTTAAGGCGCTTTTGCAAGATTGCAAGAAATAGGAACTTATGAAATAATAGATTCTTACACAATATATCTATCTAGCAATTGAGATAATTTGAGCTGTTCCTCCTCGAAAAGCTTTCTCTTCTTTTTTGTGTCTGCCCGACTTGCCATCCCGAAGTCAATCAGATAGACGTTGCCGTTGTCGTTAATTAAGATGTTTTCCTCCCGAATGTCATTGTGGAGGATACCACATTTGTGGATTGCTTCTAATCCCTTAATAGCTCTCGACCTTTGCCGTTTTGTTACTTTTTGGTCACTCAACGTAGTACCGACAATGGTCAAGCCGATAACGAAGCTCATACCTCCTCCATAATATCCATAACAGACCAACTTCGGGATATACTTGCCTTTGATATCAGCAAGTTCCTTGTAAATCTCAACTTCTTTTTGCATTTCTTCCAGGACATACGATGGAGCCTTCGATAAGTCTACACTCTTCAAAGCGATCATATCATCACGAAATTCACATAGGAGCGTTTTTCCGCTTTGTTCTTCACCTAGTATGCTCTTAAACTTGAAGTCTGTGAAGCTATCCCTTAGATTGTCTAGCAGGCAAATTTGCCTGCGAAATTAAAAATAATTGTTAATTTCTTTATAAAATATTAA